ACAACATTACCTCCTACTGTTAGATAATTTGGCGAAGATGGGAGATTGTCCTTAATACTTTTCAAGTCATTTTATAGTATAAATTATATTTAGTATAGGAGGAGGAGTACCTGTTTTTCTCCTAAAAAGTTAGGCGTATAATTTTATAAAAATATTACCATACTTCAGTTTTTTGGGGGCATCTTTCCCCTTACCACATAAATTTGTTCCTTTCCATGTATTATAAATATTACAACTAATTCCTTAAATTTTATGCAATAATGTATTGCGAGAATGCATGTCAAGTACTCTTCTAGTTTTATTTATAGAGTAGAGAGAGAAAATATTTTTTGTTCATATTTACAAAGCACCAAGAGAAGCTTTTTATACGAATTTACAATATTATCTTGTACTACCTCCGGTCTTTAATATAAGACTACGTTTGACTTTTATTTTGATCCTAAATATAAGACCACAATCTACTTTGTTGATCATATTTATACATTTTTTTCCCAAAGTAATCCTTCTAACAATGGTAGTTTTAGCCAATACACTTGATTACCAATGATATTTTAGAAAATATAACACCTATTTATTACAAATAACTACCTAACTTCTTTTCTTAATTTCCTTAAATTAGTTAACTGGCTCTTATAATTAAGATCGGAGGTAGTATTTATTATTGTGTTGACTTTATTTATATGGGATATAGTGCATATAAAATAGGGATAAAATTGAAAAATTGTTAAATTTTAAATGAAATTTAATGAAATTTAAGATTTTTCTTGATTTGTGTAAAATATGTTAAAAGTGACTTATAAATAGGATTAGAGGAGTACACATAAAGTATTTTTCCGATGACTCATAGTGCGCCTCTTTTTTTTTTTGGGCCGACGACATACAGTGTGTTGAACATTAAATTTTGAGTAGTTATTACAAGAGAAACTATAAATATTTCTCCTAGCTATTTAGGAATGCTTATCCAACCATCCTTGATATGATGAAAATAAAAAATGAAATATAAAATTTATGAAAAAATTACATAACATCTGTCAGCTATCAACAATATATTTGACCTTGTATTTTATTAAAAATATAAGGGTTAATATAATTTTTGGTCCCTCAAATTTGTTTTTATTTTGATTTTGATCCCTCAAGTTTTAAATTATATAGTTTTGGTCCCCCAATAGGTAAAATAATCCAGATTTTTATTGAAAACCAAAATGAAAACAAATTTCAGGGACCAAAATTATAAACCCAAAATATATATCAAAAAACACTAACTTGTTTATTTAAAAAGAAAAAAAAAAAAACATGACTAACTCGTCCGTCATCCTCATGTGTTTGCAGGTCATGTTTAATAAAGAACGAGGAAAAGCAAGAGAGATATGAGACGGGACAAAAGCATGTGTTTAAAGAGAGGATCCGAAGTCAATATAATAATTAGTGATATCAGATCTGGAGATTAATTCTTAAAAACGATATCAAAAAGCTTAAAGAGGTATGATTATGAAAATTAGTAAAAGTTAACAAGAAGAAGACAGAAGTGTGATGCAAATAGAAACGCAGCTTCACTGAAACTTTTTGGTCTGGATTACAAGCGGCTGGCGGATTAAAAGCAATGATTAGAGGATGACAAGCACAGTGCTGCTAATTAACACCAGAGATTTTTCATCGTTTCACTGATTACTTCCCTCAAAATGGCCATTCCTTGCTTCCCCATATATTGGTTTTATTTACTGTACATAAAAAGCTACATCTAACGCTTTTGCATCTTAAGATTTGAAGTTCTATATTAACATTGTCTTTTATTCCTAATATAAAAATTAGTTTAACATTTAATTTGATCCTAAATATAAGATTTCATTTCACTTTGTTTTTTATATTTGTATTTTTTTTAAAATAGTCTTTATAGTAGTTGCACATGTTAAAGTTTATATCAAATGGTAATTTTAGCTCATACACATGATTAGCAAAGGTATTTTAGAAAAACTAATATCTATTTATTACAAATAACTAACATAACAAACTTTTTTTAACTACACAAAGGAAAGGAGGTAGTATTATTATTCATAGTATTTAACAGATTAGAGGAATTATTGATAAATGTCAAAAATTAATTTTTTTAATCTTTAATACAATCAAGCTTTTTTTTTTTTTTTTTATAAAACTAAAGAAAGAGTAGAGAATAAGAGAAGAGAATAAAGGAGAATAGAAGACAAGAATATTTCTCATTCTATTCAAAAGTGTTAAATACATGATACATAGCTTCTATTTATAGGCACAACTTTATATTTTTAATAGAATCTACAAATTACATAACAATAAGAAATAATTATGGCATATAGAGATAATAAGATATATTAGAAATAATGGGAGATAAATGGATGTCCACAAAGATATTATTATATTTATAACAATTCTTATAAAATCAAACTTATTCTTATAAAATAAAATAAGTTGGAAGTTAGCAAGATGGCCAGATGGGTTTTGAATTTGAATTTCACACCCATTAAAGATGACAATGTGGTGTTCATCTCTAAATGTGGACTGCCCATAATAAAATGGAACGGTCCAGATTTTACTACGTTTTATTTAAAATTATGCATGATACAAAATAAAAATAGTTTTTTTTTTATGTAGACTTCAATTGTTTTGTAGTTTTTCTTTGTGGTTTCTTAGGCATTGGTTTTTTCTGAGCCCACTTATTTGAGGGGAAAAAAGCGGTTGTTCGACTTAAAAATTGAAAAATGCGTAAATTTTAAAAATAAATCATTCAAATGAAATCTACACAACCTGAACCTCATTTACAAAAAATAAATAATTGACAAAATAAAAAAACTGAAGTCATTGTGGATAAATACGGAAACTAAATAATTTAAATATTTATTAATGCATATTCTCACACACATCCTTTTTTTTTTTTTAACCTTGGCGCACACATCCTCTTTTAAAGGTGCAGTTACCATAGTTTAGGCCTCAGGGTAACAAGAAAGGAAGTGAACAATTAAAAAAGGGACCCAATGTCATGGGCAAACGGGAACGCAAGGCGCCTTCCCTACCATGTTATGGGCTCGATACTTACGAGTGCATCTGGGATTAGTCTGGCCGGTTGTGCTGGGATACCCTGAGGCAGCGATACCATCCTACTCAAAAAAAAAAAGGGACCCAATGTTCTGGTGAACCGGGTGGGGAAAAAAAAAGAAAAAAGGGACCCAATGTAACAGAATCAATCGCATCAAACATTGCCCTCAAATTGAATCATCGATCCCTTTCCTTGAATGTTTTGGGCATCTTCCCCCACCACTACCCCATCAAATCATGACCCACCTAAACTCAACAAAAAGCCAGATTTGAAAAAAAAAAAAATTAGTACTCAAGGGTGTCTCCAATAGAATTGTATATAATAAAAAAAGAATACATATATTTAGCAAAAAATTTAAGATATTTTTATTTTTATCCATATTTATTGGATTATAATATGATATATATACACCCATTTAGCTCAAAAATCTCATCACTAATCATGTAATGTTTAATCAGAAAATTTCAAAAATTAATACACTTAGATTGGAAAAAACACACACACCCATCCCATATGTCATATGAATTTGGATCTCATTCTAGAAACCTAATTTTGTTTTACGCAGAGATTAGCAATTTAGCAATCAATTGGCGACCAAGCGACCTTCTCTTCTTTCATCTCTGTCTCCGCCACTTTCTGCCTCCTTATCCCATTTCCTATCACGTCAAATTATTCAGGCAAAACAAAAATTAAAGGGGACAAAGAAGAAAAGAAGACACGAATTATTTTATCTTCTATTTTCTGTACACAGACTTCGAAACCAATGAGCATTCTTGCACAAAAATAAATACATCAAATGGGTATTAAATATTAAACAATTAAGTATGGTAGATTTTGACTCAAAATCTTAAATTTTAAGTTGATGGGTCCTCCATTTTTATATTGCCTATTAAGTTTAATTTTATCTAATGTGAGACTCTCCACATTAATTCAAGTTCATCCACACTTAGGTATCATAATAATATTTTCTCAACACGTTTTATGTTAAACTAAAACAGATATTTTTTAACTCAATCAAAATATTGGCAAAATTTACTAAAAATTAACGAAGGCTCTCATTATTTAATGTAAAATTTTAAAATTAAAATTATATCTAAATACTTCATATGAGGCAATTCCTGCATGCTAGATTTCTATCCAATATCGTCTTTAATTGAAGTAATTGCCATAATGTAATTAGAAAAGCGAACAACAACTTTTCCAGTTGAAGTAAAAAGGCTGTATCACTGTACTTTGTTCAGTTGATGACATCTTTCTTTTCTATAGACCCTTCTCTCCCAACATTTGGCATTCTGGTCCCTAGAGCTGGGGTGTATTATTGGTCATTGCAGCCTTGCATCATAAAGCACAAGATTTTATATGTTTTATTCACAATATTGTTCTTTTGCAATTTCCCATATTTTTAACAATTTAATAACTATTTGGACGGAGGCTTTTAGTAGGTTTTACTTTACTCTAATCCTATTTATAAGACACTTTCAACATGTTTCACATAGACTAAAAAAACTTTAAACTTAATTACTTCTCATTTAAAATTTAATGATTTTTCAACTTTATCCCTATTTAATATGCATTATACCTCATATAAACAAAGTCAACACAATAATAAATTAGGGATAAAATTGTATATCCATACAAAAAATTTCTCTCAATACCTTATAAATAGCACAAAAAAATATAAATAAGAACAGAGGAGTATATCATGAGATAACAACGGGAAGTCCAGCCTAGAAAATCCAACAACGGTGTCTCAAAGTAACGGGAACATAGAGAAACCCAGATAATTATTACTGTTAATTATTCATATAAACTAATATTTAAATGAGAGAGCCCCGAGAGAGAGAGAGAGGCATTCCGAGTGGTCTACTGTCTCTTTGATTGCTGAGTTGTTCATGTTCATAAAACTACGAAAGCGAAACCAAGGAAAAATAGAAGAAACGTTATTTCTGTTCTCAGATAGACAAAAGAGAAATGGCATAATCCTCACTCCGTTGTAATCATCAAAAGCAGCATGGATGAGCAGAAAATCTGTTTTAAAGTAAAAGCGCAGCACCGTCTATGAGCCTGAGCCATCATCACTCTTCATTCCCTGTTCTTCCTCGAGTCTCGTAATGTTCTCTTCTTTACAAATTACAGCGCTCCTAACGCTCAGTAATTATTCCTTCTGCAGCTCTCTGTTCACTTGTTCTCCTTATGTTTAACATTGCGACTTCTGTTCCATCATTTTCTAACGCCCTGTTTGCTCAGCAGTGTCACATGAGACATGAGGCTTCAAATGTCACTTGCATGACCGATTATCGGTGAGTCTCTCTGCTTCTGATGCTCTCACTAACCCCTATTTATCTGACAGTTTCTTTTCTTCTCTTGCTGGGTTTCATCATTTGAGAAAAATTCTAGCTTTTTCGGTCACAATGAACATTCCTCATGTTCCATGCAATTTGTGTGATACTGCAGTGATTCTCGCGGAGAATGCATCAAAAGTAATCACCTTTAAACTTGTAGCTGTTGCAATTCGTTTTTCCATTTTCATGCTTCAGTATCTGTGAGGGAAAAGCGTTGAATCAACAGTAGCGGAGCGAAATTTGCATTGCAACTAGCTGGAACAACCGATTTGTTGTTTTACATTGAAACATACGGACCTCTTCAAACTCCACCTTTTCCTCTGAAGTGTCATATTTTCCTCCAAAGGACATGTGAGTTCTTGTTTACTAGCAAGATATGGCTGAAATTAGGCTTGCTAGGGTAGAACAAGGTCAAGCCAAGGTAAAAAATGTTCCAATCGCTGTCACCCCTGAAGGTTTTTGGTGTTGCCCTTCTCCAGTTGTGTTTCACAAAAGCCTGAAATCTCAAAACCCCCTCAATAAAACCAAACCCTCCTCCTCACCACCACCACCACCTCAAAAAGTTACTATCCAGAAAAAGCCAGTCCAAGTTTGCGAGAGAAGACCAGCACCTGTCCCACCAAGATCAATGGTTTCTGATGATCAACAGTATGTTGTTCCTGCAAGACATCAAGGTGGTACATCTATGGTCACAGAGAGATCAGAAAGACCCAAAATTGAGAATTTACCTAGAAAGGTAGCTATTGAGTTTGGCGAGGCTGGAACTTGTGATATGAAGGTGGTCTTACTAGGAAAGCAGGGGTTTTGTGTGAAGTTAAGTGTGCACAGGGATGTTCTTAAAGAGAAGAGTAATTTCTTTGCCGATAAACTCTCTGTACAATCTGACTTGTCGTGTCTCCAAATTGATGATTGTGAGGATGTTGAAATATATGTTGAGACTGTTGGACTGATGTACTGCAAGGAAATGAAGCGGCGGTTGATGAAACAAAGTGTTCCTCGCATACTTCGGATACTCAGGGTAATTTACCAACAGTTTCTTGCTTAGAATTTATTTTTGGGGGTAAAATATTTCGACTTTCTTTCAGGTATGTTGATGAGTGGTTGTAAACTGCTGTGTTTGGGTTTTCATGCGACAATGGTTGTAAACTGCTGTGTTTGGGTTTTCATGCGACAATGTAATAGATCTTCAACATGATTCTCCATATCTGCTATCAATTTAGGAAATGATATTATGTACCGGTAGTGGTCGAGTTTACTCAGCAATTAGATTCGGAGCATCACGACCATTTGCTAATTTACAGAATTAGTGCATATTACAGAATTAGTTTTTGGCAATAATACAGTTCATATTTGTAGCAAAGAACACATTTGCTAATACTCTCTGTGTATGTAAAATTGATGATAATTTTAGCAGCTGTTATACTCGTATGAAAACTGGTGCATCAACTTGTTTTAAGAATAGTTTAGTTCTGTGAATCAGCTTCTCTGCACAATGTTCTTAAAGGGGGATTGCTTCCATCACATGAGAGATACATTGCACAATGTTCTTAAGAATAGATTGTGCTTTTTCTGGTTCACGCTGGCTACAAGCAAGCTAAACAGTTGCCCAAAAGATAGAGATGAGAGCTATTGCATCTCGAACATTTTCTGTAGTGAACTTTGCTGCAAATATGAACTGTATTATTGCCAAAAACATACTTATGTGCATCTCAACATTATATGCATGATACATGCGTAGAATTTATTCGTGGCTTTTTGGTTAGAATGCCTAAGGATTTCCTGTCAAACTGTTGACTGCAATACTGAGAGCTGCGCACTCAGTGGACTGTGCAATAAATGAAAAATGTAGTTATAAACTCGAGGGGATCAATGATTCATTGTTTATAATGATATTCATTGCTGAGATTGATATGGTTTAAGACAGAGTGATGCAATATCTTACACTTCAACACACCTGTTCTCCGTGAGAGATTTTTCCATGAGGAGTTTTTTAGCACTCAGGTCTGGATGCAAAAATTGTATTGAATTTGTTGCCTTTTGGATGAAAAAGGAGTTTAATTTGATTATTCCTGCTTGGTCACACTTGCCCCACTTGCTATTATTATTCTTCCTCTTGATATTTTATTTTCTCGACTCACATATTCATGACTTTTTGAATAAATCCTTATCCTGTGCAGTAGAGGTTGCAAATGAGTCCCCCCCTCTTTTTTTAACTGTAGTTCCCTCTTTAGTTCTCATTCAGACGGCCTATCATCTGACTTTTCTTGCTCTTGGTTTTGCTGTGTCCTCTGGCTATGAATTTTACCCCGCAGTTAAGCAAACAATTGTAGTTTTTGAAATGCCGGTGGAAAACATATATGCTGGGATCTTTCATGGAATTTGAGTTATTTGGATGTTACTTTTATGCTCAAGTGTGTATGTATATGGCATCATCTCTGATAATTGGTTTCGCATGATTTGTCTACTCAGCGTAACTTGGCGTGTATGAAAACGTAACTTGCAAGTACTGCAGGGAATCTAAAGCCAACTATTCTGCAGGTTGCAGAACTTCTTGGCTTCACCAGCTGTATCCAGTCATGTTTGGAGTACTTGGAGGCAGTCCCGTGGGTTGGAGATGAAGAAGAAGCAAAAGTGGTTTCAACAGTTCTCCGACTCCAAGGGGAAGGAGTTGGGGTCAACCCTGTGTTGAAACGAGTTTTCTCTGATATCACCAAGGCCCCAAATGATACTCTGTCCCACATCATCAAACTCGTTCTCACAAGCAAGGAGGAAAAAGGACGCCGGGAGATGAAAACCATAGTTCTGAAGCTCCTAAAAGAGAATAACAATGTTCCAAGCCATTCTGGCTCACCGGACATCTGTAAAGAAATGATTTACCGATCATGCAGAAGCTGCTTGGATTCTCTACTGGCTCTCTTTAGGCAGGCTGCGGCACTAGAGCTGGCTGATAAATCTTCCAGCAACAAAGAACCAACGGTAAAACTCATAGCTCTCGAAGCTGATAACTTGTCATGGTTACTAGAGATACTTGTCAACAAACAAGCTGCAGACGAATTTGCAGTTATATGGGCGAACCAGCAGGAATTGGCTGTCCTTCACGAGAAGCTACCTATCGTATCCCGTTATCATGTTAGTTGCATCTCGGCAAGATTATACGTTGGCATAGGACGGGGGGAGTTGTTGCCATCCAAGGACACACGTCAGTTGTTGTTACAGACTTGGTTACAACCTTTGATCAATGACTTCTGCTGGTTACAGCATGGATGCAGGTCGTTTGATGATAAGGTTGTGGAGGAAGGAATTGGGAGGACTATTCTCACTCTACCTCTGGAGGATCAGCAAAGTATCATGCTTTCTTGGGTGGGAAGTTTCTTGAAGGTTGGTGACAAGTGCCCAAACCTTCAGAAAGCTTTTGAGGTATGGTGGCGTAGAACTTTCATAAGACCTTATGTGGAAGGACAAGGTAACAATAATGTGGGATCTGATAGTAGTTTTTTCGATGTTGTCTAAATAACTAGGCATGTGTCCGATGAGGTTCAGAAATATCTGGCAACGGTGTGTTGGAAAGTCACTAAAAAATGATTAGTATAGCTATAGGAATGGTAGTGGCTGGAGACTGCGGGGATAAACACAGCGTATACAAATTGCTTGTGGAATTGATGCTATTCATAATGGCTTTTGCTGTAAGCTCTTCAAAGGATTGGAATTTTGTATTTTGTTTCTGTGATCCTGAGACTTCCAAGCTCCAAGTTGACAACATCCTTGGTGGATATTCAGTGTTCAATGTATTGCTATTTGCTAAGAACATGATACTTGTTCGACCCAAAATTTTGGATAGGGAAACTATAATCTGATTTTCTAGCTGACGTTACACATGGGTAAGCACACATAAAACAGAAACACACCCCTGAAAAACTTCAAATACAGCAACTGAAATTACCTAAATTGATGGTCAAATGAAAGCTTCCAACAAACTGAGGGATAAAAAGATACTATGGTCAACTTCCAGCAGCGTAAGCAAGACTGTGACAGCAAACAAGGGCCAACTAAATTTCTTTCATTCATTCTTCAGTTTGGACGTTGCACAAGTAAAAACCAATGTGCCAAGGCTTCTACTTTTTTTTTTTGGCCCCCCTTCATTAAGCACAGATATCCTTCTAGAAACAATCAAGGTATTGTTAGATATTAAATGTGGATAGTTCTCTCAGCTCAGATTTAAATCTTAGTCACATTCTGAGCCACTAAGGGGGTGTTTAGATAAACTCAAATCATGGTTTCGAGAATAGCTTTTTGGGAGAATAGATTCTGTGAATAAATTTTGGAAGAATAGATTTTGAAAAAAAGTTATTTTGATAAAGTGAGAATATTTGGATAATTGTTATCAGAATCTTTTTTGTCATATACAAATTACTAAAAAGGACATAAGCTAATATGATAATTAGATAAATGATAGATTTTAATTTATATTGTTTGAAATAATAAATTTGTAAATAATAAATTATATATGAAAAAATATAATTAATATTATCACCGGTCCTTAGTATAAGAGCTAATTGGGTATTCCATTTGATTTTGAATATAAGATATCAATCTATCTTGTCTCTTACATTTATCCATTTTTTTCAAAGTAGTCCTCATGTTAGTTTGCAGATGTTAAATGTTACGTCAAATAATAATCCTAATACACATCGTTAATAGGTGTTTTAAAGAATACAACACATATTTATTATAAATAAATAGTTTAACTAATTTTCTTAATGTTTACAAATTAGTTTTCTAACTCTTACATTAAGGATCAAAGGTAGTAATTGATATATATATATATATATATATATATTTATATCCCAAACCATGGTTTTATACCTTCAAAAGCAAAAAAAAATTCACTTTATGAAAAACCATGATTTCCAAATGAAAAGTGATTTTGGAAAAAATTATGGTGTTTGGTTACTTTTTTGTAAACCATGGTTTTAAATTAAAAAGTGATTTTTGAAAAAATATATAGTGTTTGGATGTTTTTTCTTCAAACCATGGTTTTCTCTTCAAAACCATGGTTTGAAAAAAAACCCAAACACCCCCTAAATCTGTGTCTTCTACTTGAAATAGGATGTGCGATTCTTATAATGGGCTTGATTGGGCTATGCCCTGTTATTGTTGCTCGTGTTCGTTGAGAGTTCCCACCTTGCAAACTTACACTGAAACCTGAATGAAGTGATAAAGATCAGCCTGGCCCATTAGCATCCTCTCGCTCTCCCCCAGCCCCTTTGGTGGGCTCTAGCTAAAACCGAAAAGTGGAAACTTGGACTTGGACTATTAAATACTGTTTTCCCTGGATAGTAGCGAAGAAATACTAAAGGCTGATCTCGTTTCCTTTTTGGTATATCAGGATTTTTCCGCAAGCGTATACCAAAACGGTTTGAATCTTAAAATATATATATATATATATATATATATATCTATTGTTGGCTCTAACAGAAAAAACTAATCCTTTACAACATTAGTGAATTGAGGTTTGAATTCTTGTCATAAGAAATGCCTACATTTAATGTCAGATAGTGTTTTGAATATGATTTTTTATATATAGTAGGAGGATAGTTGTGCCTAACTCCCAAAAAAAAAAATTGTATTCCCATTCTATCCTCATTCTTACAATTTGAGCTGGTTCCAAGTGGCTCTTATTTTTCATAATGTGTTGCTCCTCTTGTAGTTATAGAATCTAATTAGGGAGTTGATTTTTATTCTAAACTCAAGTCCCATTTTTCATTTTTTTTTATTTTCTCTCAAACTGTTCCTAGTGTCAACAGTAATTATATACAATAATAATTTAATAATACACTCAATAATAATTTATTAATACCCTCGTATGTCACATAAAGTGAGTAATGTTTTCTAACATTAGTCAACGTTCATATCACTAACTATAAAATTATTGGCAAAGATTTACAACGAGCAATGATAAGGAAGACGCCCCACTTTTATATTCTTTCGGTCTTAAATATAAAATCTTTAGACACACTAGTATAAGAGTCTTATATTTAGGAATGAAAGAGTATTTTTGTTCAAAGACGGCCCATTTAGTAAGTAGATATTGTGGTGATGTTAAGATTTGGATGGGCCAGCCCAAACCTCGTTCAATGTGGCAGCGTTCATCCAAAATATATTTCTTTGGAAGATAATTTTATGATCATATCATGAATGCATAACAATTCATAATATTAAGATAAGAAAACAATTTAGAATTAAAAAAAATAAAGAACGAAATATTAAAAAAGCCTGTGATAATCATAAAACTAACTTATTACATACTCGTTTTTTGTTACAAACATGCTCATTTGATATTAAAAAGATAATAAAAAATGGTTATGTATGTAATGTACTAGGAGGAGAATTACAGTGAAGTCTTAAAAAAAGAATTTAATTACTTTAAAATCTATAACAACTTAAGAGTATACAATAACAAGTTTCAGCATAAAAAATAACAAAGGTTCAAGTTGGTCGTTTGTTATTAAGATTTTTTTGATGATTAATCTCATGGTAAATCTTCTGTAATAGGCCAAGCTGGGTGGAGGGCATGTTGCTGGGGGCCTGACTAAGCCTAGCGGGGCCCTGCATGCGAGGCAATATTAGGTCAATGAGCATTTCTAATCAATAATTAGCTATGACGGGTATTGTCCTTTTCTTTTTTTGGGGGGTGGGGGGGGGAATGCAAACATGTAGTGCATATTATATCCTCACTAGAATTGTTTTTAAATTGTCTTCCGCTTTTATTTTTTATTTTTTTTCCCCGACGCCCGGGTGGTTGTGTGGTGACTTGTCGAGAGATGCGTATATATTTTTTGTTGCATATTTGTTCCCTTCGTTTCAGGTTATAAAATGTTTTAACTAGTTTACAAAGAACAACACACAGATAAAGATGGTTTGATATGTTGATTTTCTCAAAACATAGGATGACATTACACTAATACCCTTGATTTATGACTAATCTCTATACCTTAATGTAAAATTATGAAGGGCATTTTTGAGGAACAATCATTAATAATTCATTGTCCAAATGTTTCAAAACACGAAAATCTTTGGAGAAAAATATCTTATAATTAATTTGAGTCAATATTGTACGTAATTTTTGACTTGGGCTTAAGGGTATGATCCACTTCATAGCTTATCCCTAAATGTCAAGATCATAGCCTGTCCTTTTCTGGTATTATTATCAACAAGTAGATAATACCGTCTATAACCGCAAGATCTTAGCCTTTCTATGTTAACTTCAAAGTATTACGCCCATGCACGAAGAGCAAAATCAAATCAATTACTATTTCTGGTTTTTAATAGAAGAGTTTGTTTGACTTTTATTTTAATCCTAAATATAAAATCTCAATCCACTTTTTCTATTATATTTATTCATTTTTTTCAAGATAGTCCTTATAAAAATGATAATTCTAATTAATACAGTTAGCTAGCAATGATATTTTAAGAAATGCAACACATATTTATTACAAATAACTAACTCAACTATTTTTCTTAATTTATTTAAATTAGTCAGCTAGCTCTTACATTAAGAGCTGGAAGTAATGTATTGGAGACAGTCCACATTACTCAAACCATCGATCTCTTAATTAACATTATTGATATATATATATATATATATATATATCAATCAGTGGAGAAATTGGAGAGGTGAGAAATAAAAGGAGAAAACAAGAAAAGTAAGGTGAAAAAAAGGGGGCTCGGGATAGTGAAAGGGCAGTGGGGACGTCCATTTGATGTGACATTCACCAAACAATAAGATAGTATCTACCAAGAACAAGACAAATGGTGTGTGAAAGATGCTCATGCTCCCACTATATAACTATCATACAATTCAATTCAATTTCCCTAATTGTGATTCTTTCATGGTAACTCCATGGCCAGCCCCTCCAACAAGTCCATGTGCCCCTGTACTTTGAGCTTTCATGCCCCCAATGTCTTCCCTTTAATCTTCAAAATTCAAACACAAAGCCAACACACACTTGGATGCTTTGTTCTGAACTGTCCCATACCCCCCCAAATCAAATGAAACCAAGACATTCCTTCAGTCTCTTTCGGGTCTCCATCACACTTGCATCTCTCTTCCCCATATGAAAACTGCCTTTTACTCTCCTCTCTCCCCCTTTGGAATCCCAAAAAGATGCCATTCTCCATCGTTTTCAATGGCCTCCCACACCCAGCCAAAAAAAAAATTTTGATTTCTCAGATTTGCATCATATGTGTGTTGACGTAGCAGGCAGCTGGGTGGGGATGGATGGGAATCTACTGCCCACTTTCATTCCTTAAATGCTTCCTTGGAATTTTTCGAAGAAATTGTGTTACCATGCGGCTTTGTTGTGAAATGCATGCAGTAAGTTTTGGGTAGAATCTTTGGGGATGAACCTGAGAACAACGACTCGTGCAGAGAGGAGGATAGAAAATTGCCAAAACTAATAAATGAGAGAGATGGGAGGAAGGAATCACGGACCAATGTTCAAACTTGTGCACATCAATGATGCTCTTTGTGCAGCTGCTTTTGGCAAAAAGCCTATTTGGCACCTGCGTTTCCCTCTTCTTTTTTCTGCATCTACTTTCTAGCTTGTTCTCTCCTCTCACTTCCTTCGTCAAACTAATTCCCACAAGTAATACAAACCTCCACAGTAGCAAATAGTAATTCCTTCTTTTGTTTACTGTACTGTTGCATCTCACGACTTGGTAATCACATTCATTTAAGTAAAAGAAATTTCTCCACATGACTATAGAGAGAGAGAGAGAGAGTTGAAGGGAAACCAAAGAAAGTTAGAAAAGATTTTTGTGGTGCAAGATGATGGCCACTTTTCGGTGTAGGACGAGTGGTCCTGAA